CTCCCTTCCTGATACTCTCCTTTAACATGTTTGTGGGTTTTTTTACAATAAAAAACAGGATAGATGGTTGATTAATTCAGTACTTGCATGATAAACATTTAATAAGAGGAACTTTAGATCCTTTTTTAGTCATTTGTCTGAAATTATTAAATTATTTTATGTTTAATATTTATTACTTAGAGAACTAGACTTCCCCTCAGCTGAGACACTGAATAAAAGAGGAAATATCTGTTTCAGGTGATAGTACATGTTCCCTATGGCTAGGGACAGACATTTAAAAAGCCGAAGCCTGAATTGATTCAATCTTTGCAGGTTAGTCTCAGCTGCAGAGATTGGAGTGATTTGCAAGTGGATAGACTTTTGAATCAGGAAATGCAGGCATATGACTGCAGAGGCTCAGGCTAGAAGTCAGGGAGTGCTAAAGTGAGCCCTACTTCCCCCTTCCACAGTGCTGAGCTGAGGGTGGGGTGTAGATGCTATTATTAGGGAGAGGTTCAAACCCAAATGCTGGCTTTCGCAGTCCCCACCAGGGTCTGCCAGGAGGGGGAATGGGAAGCAGCCCTTACCAGGCTTTTCCCCCCTGCTCGCTGCTCAAGAGGCAGGGAGTGTTGCCCATAGCACTTTGAGGCAAAAGGGGTGGGGGGAGGGAGGACTGCTTGTGTGGACTACATGCATCTGTTGATGATACTGAGCTTTTCAGTCTCTCTCTCCTTGCTGCTGCTTACTGTCTGCAGCAAACTGATGACACTCACAGGTCACATTCATTGCAAACCAGGTCATTTGAGAACTCAGGAGCAGGAGGGGCTGGACCTAATGATCTCCTGAGGTCCCTTCCAGCTCTTAGCTTTAATGACTATGAATCTGTTTCTCACACCTCTCTCTGTCCCCTGTTGAACACTGACAGACTGTGGGCTTTGAAGCAAGCAAGCCAGCAGGGAGCTTATAAGAACACAAAGCTTATCAGCCCATCAAGCCCTATAAAAGAAAAGAAATGCATCTCTCATTAATTTCAAGCTCCTCTTATCTGCAGGGTGCATTTGCAAGCCGCTGGCTTCTAGCCCTAAACGGACACTGTTCTGTGTACCTTTGTTGCAGTGAAATTGGAGACACACACACAGACACCTCTCAGCATTAGCTAGCATGGGGGGGCATAGCCAGGTGCTGGCTAGGGTCCATGCTACTGGGGTCCCTGCCATGGGATGGGTTGGGGGGGATCCCTGCTTAAGCAGTGAGTGGTGAGGGGAGACGGGGAAGCCTGGCAGATGCTGCAGTCCCCCACCCCCTTCTCAGCCAGCTGGAGCTCTGACAGCCCAGCCCAGCACAGGGCTGGAAAGCAGGCCGTGATGCTGGGGGAATCTGATTTAACTTAAACCAGGAAGGGGCCTGGGACAGAAATTCCATAAACCAGTTTGACCCAAATCAGTTAACTCTGATACTTCATTCACCCAGTTTTATCTTTAACCAGTTTCAGCCATTTTGAAACTGGTCTCTGTGCACTGAACTTACATTCTGTTACAGATTTAAACCAGCTTCTGATCACTTAAACCGATTTATGTGTAACTTCTGTCCCTAGCCTATCAGTGTAAATAAATCAGTTCTGTAGTTACCTGCACTAAAACATTTTAATTCTTTAGACAGTCTCATAACATCAGAAACAATCAATACCTTTTATGCATCTCATATCATTTGATAAAGATAATTCTAAAATGACCTGTTCAGGCATTGAAAATGATAACTGGCATAGCTGTCCAATTATTTGAACCTCTGCAGATGAAAATTTAGGTGAATTTCTTCCAAGATGATTTTTAAAGCCAAGTATGCCTTTGGTGTCTGTTTTCACACAGCCATCACAATTTGTATACCAATCAAATATACCAATCAACTATCTATTTCCAAATGGACCACTTTCTCTGAAAACATCGAAGCTTGTTTTTATCCCTATAAAATTTTCCACTGTATGTTCACACTTAATATCCCTGCAAATAAATTATTTTAAAAATAAAGCATCTTTCAGAATAAAATATGGATGTTAAATCATTTATGTCAATATTTCACTTGTATCAATTCTTCTGTAAATGCTTAGCATTATGATAAAGGCATATTAATTATTTCTTTTAAGCTACAAACTGATGGTTATAGCATGTTTTAAATTTTTGTGGAAAGTTCATTTTTTCTCAACCCTGAGACAAGCAGTCCTGAGGCGAAAATATTTAGACATCTTGTAAATAGTGATGTGTGTGTGTATTCATGCATATGTATGTATACGTGTGTGTATATAGGTATGTGCAAGCATGTATGTGTGTGCATGTATATCTATCTATCTATTGCATATTACCTTTCATCCCAGAATTTCAAAACACGTTACACAGTTTGCATTCAGGAAACTCCCCTACAACAGAAGTGTTACCAACTAGGAGGTAATATACAACTATTATTACATGCTGGGGACTGTGGAATAAAATAGTTTGGACTAGAAAGTGGATAAAATTTCATCTATTTAAAATTGTGGGAGAAAAATGATGTAGGAAGGACCTAGTTATTCAGATTAGAATTTGGCTAGGAAGCTAGAGTGAGCATCCCTGACTCTTGCAAAGTCTGCAGAAATTAAATATTCTCTGTTCTGAAAGACACTTTCCACAGTTCTATGCCCACTTCAAGTTATGCTCTGACACACTTCCTCAGTAGTGACTCAGAGGGAAGACAGTCATCTGCTGAATCACCAGCCTAACTGTCTGCTGCACCTGGTTTTTCTGTAAAGGGCTCCCTTTCAGCCCAACTCTGCTGAGCTTGTGAGAGTTAATGAGATCACAAGCTGAGATTGTATGACTATAAACAAACTTTTTTTATTTCATCATTAGCTCTTCACTTCTTTCAGAGAGAGAGATGTATACTAGAAATAATAAGTGTGTTACTCTGTACTCGGTTCTTTAAAAAAATCAACTTTTTTTTGCCATAGTGGGGACAATTAGAAAACTTTTATTCATACTAGCTAGAAGTCATACAAGTAATTATCTTGGAATCAGTGAGACTAATCATCTAACTACAGGCCCTTAGTGATTTCTGATGGCAAACAATTCGCTGCCCCACAACCCAGTCCTCTTGCATTACCCTAAGCTGAAGTCATTCCCTTGATATGGTGACAACACAAATCTTACCATGTCACTAGATAGTTGTATTATAAGCAGCATATTACACCTGCATCATCAAGGATCATGAAAAAGTTCATTGGAAAAGAGAGAATTCTGATTCAAACCTGATTATCTTCAGTAACTCTAAACTGAATCTTTTGTTAAGGTGAAATGAAAAATGTAGGTAAACAAGATCACAGTAATTGGAAGAAGAAAGGGAAAAGCAAAGATCAAAAACTCAGGAAATTCAAAGTTAAGATTAACTTGAAAGAACCACAACTATTTGAATGTATAGAAAAGCATTGTTAAAGTATCCAGGCTACATCACCTGTGTTGTCTTGGTGATTCCCAGGCAAATGCCCATCTTTCCGTCTGTGTTTCTTTTAGAACTAAGCTGGAAGTAGTGTTTATTTTCAGATTGAAGACTTTAAGCATTCCACAACCTAATTTATTTGACTTTACATTTTCCTTTTACAGCTCATTAGGTCGTTTAACAGAATTCTGTACCATGAAGCATTGGTTATAATTGTTTTCATGTTACCCTAGTAAATATACTCACTGTGTATCTTATACATGATTCACTGATTTGCCCTTGCAGTCATAGGGTCTGAGTCTGCAAGATGCTGACCACCTCCATTGGTACCTTACAAAAAGTAAAGCCAATAGAATAACTGAATGTGGAGGGATGTAACTGCCTTCTGTATGCTATTTATCCAATTAGGGAACCATGTAAACTAGTAGTATTTTTTTTCTCTGTAGTGTATAGAGCACTAAAAATAAGTTGAAGTTTAATATAACCATTATATAATAAAAGTTAAAGCATTCTAGTTTTCTTGGTGAAATAAAATTTTGGTGTGGGTGGGGAAGAACAGTCTTAACGTGAACCATCTCCACATAGTAGGGTCGGGAGGAATGCCTCTTTCCACTCCACTACATGAATCCAGAAAACTTTGTTGTAATTGCCTCCTACTCTGTTCTCAAGTTGGCATTTGGGGGATGGCAGTGTTAGATTTTTCTGTCTGATGCAGTGTGTCTTGACTTACAAATATAGCATTACTTGAGAACCTTTAGGTATATGGAGAACTTCTCCCATTTCTACTAGGAATTCCTCTGAGTCTATCAATAGTTGTGTCCCTGCCAGGTAGAAAAAAGCTCGAGACTGACTTATTTTTTATTTTATTAGAACAGTTTGTCTCTGGAGGTCACTTGGTGGTCCATTTTAGGCTCAGTAAAGATGATAAAAAGCCATTCTGATAAAACAATTTAATCTCTCAATATCTTTTAAAATTGAGGTATAATGAACTAATCTCCATCAAATAAGGGAGCAAATTTTTATCCCTCCATATTATTTTTGTATAGAAGCAAAGCCCTGCTGAGCCTCTAAGCTTTAGGGTTTCCGAATTCCTAAAAAACCCTTTTCCAATTAACTTCAGATTTGACAGAAAAATGCTAACTTGGTCCCTCAGCTAAGTCACCCATTTTTGGGCTAGTGTTCCTTTGTGCAATTATGAAGCAAAGAGGAATTCCAGTTAGGCTTATAATAGAAAGTAACCTGAATTATGAATTGGCTGTAGCCACTTTGTAGTAGTGAAATGGAGTGTATAGTAAAATGTTGGCAAATAGCTGACTGCTTCATAAATGTGTCACAGTATGAAAATCAGGCTGGATGGTAACTGAATAGGCAAGGTTCAGTAGGGTCAACAAGGATTTACTACTGTTTATTCTGTTTTGTAGTAAGGGCTTTGCTTTTACAATAAATCCTTTAAAAGATCAGTCACTCTCTGAATGGCAAAGCGAAGATTTAAGTTACCTCTCTTCCTTCCATTCTTTTTTTTTCCCACAGCAGTTTCATGACGAGCTCTTGTTCATCTGATGACATCGATCAGGAGGAAATCCAGCTTGCCTTGCAGGCTGCTAAAATTGCTACCCGAGAAAAGATAAGATCCCGATTTCATGGCAGCAATGACCTTATTCACAGGCTCTTTGTCTGCATCTCAGGTGTGAGAGCTCTTTGTTTGTTATAATGTAAATGTTATAAGGAAATTTTATAATGAAACTCAAAATGTCCTGACAAAAGAATAAGGAGGTGGCTGTATATCAGATCATAAACCCCACAAGGACTACAAACTCTTTTTTAAACATTATTATGGCTTACTCAAATTTTGTTTAGTGAAATCTATGATTAATTATATTATCTTAATTTTATCACCAATATGTTTGTAAGTGTGTCCTGTTTTTAACAAAAGGCCATAACATTGCTTGTATCTAGAGATAAGTTTTGTAGATTTTGAAAATAATAATGGTTTTATCCATTTCCACAACCTGTTAGGTGTTGCTGACCAGTTGCAGACAAACTATGCCAGTGACTTGCGAAGCATCCTGAAGACCTTATTTGAAGTTATGGCAACCAAACCTGAAACAGAGGACAAGGAAAAACAAAAGAAAGGTAAAAACAGCAGTGGAGATGTCCTGTACTGCTATTTTCCTTTGGTTGCTGTACACTAGTCCACAAAATACTTGGCAGTAAATCAATTGTTGGTTTTGTTTAATAACTGTCTTTTGCTACAAGGCTGTTATTAGGGACCTAACCAAATTTGCAATTGCACGATTTTTGTGGAAACTGCGAATTCAGGCAGGCTCTGTGGAAAACGGTGGGCTCTGTGGAAAACAGCGGACTCTACAGTTTTGGTGGGCTTGCTGCAAAAAAGCAAAGCAGCAAACAAAAAACCCTTATGGGCAAGCAGAGCATCTTGGAGCACAGGAAGGAGGGGGCTTGCAGCAGCTCTGTCCCTTCCCCCCTCTGCACACCCCATGCTCCAAGACTCTCTGCTTAGTTGTAAGATTGAGGGGGGGGGGGGGGTTTGACGGGGGATGCCAAAAAACACAAAACCCAAACTTTATTTCCCCCT